CCATCCCTGGAGGTATTTAAAAGACGGGTAGACGTGGTGCTTGAGGACATGGTTTAGTGGTGGACTTGGCAGTGCTAGGTTAACAGTTGGACTCGATGATCTTAAGGGTCTTTTCCAACCTTAACGATTCTATGATTCTATGATTCTCTCACATTTTTCTCACTCCTCTCTCACAGCTGTTGCACAGCATTTTTTACCCCTTCTTAAACATGTTATCACGGAGGCACTACCAACATTGCTGATGGGCTCAGCTTTGGCCAGCGGCAGGTCCATCTTGGAGCCATCTGGAACTGGCTCCGTCCAACATGGGTGCAGCTCCTGGTATCTTCTCACAAAAGCCACCCCTGCAGCTCTTCCCCCATCCCCTGCTAACAAAACCTTGCCATGTAAACCCAATACACAGTTTAGTCAGGTGTACCCAAGAAGACAGAATATGAAAAGATGGATGTGTAAAAAATCAGTAATATCAACTCTGATTCCATAGGGGATTGTTATTAAAGTTGCCAAGTATTTAAGCAAGGGAAGTCGTTATATCTGCTTTCTACAGTGCTTGCACTCCCCTTTTCAGTGCAGGTGAAATGATTCGTATTGAGCCAAATGAATTAAGTGCCAAGAAACAGGATAACACTGAATGTTTTATTCTCATAGGCTCACCTTCACCATTATCTGCATATAGACGGGATGGAGCAAAGCTGTTTTTCTGAAGCTATATCATCTTTGTCTGACCTAATAGAAGAGTACAATGAACTGGATGCTGCAAAAGGTGGGCCTAGAACAGATCCATCAAGACTGAAGATAGCTGTTTAAAGACAGAATGAATCGCAGCGTTGCCTAGCTATTGTCATTCCAAAGTGAGACTGGGACAACTGCTTCCTCAGCTCTGAGAGGTATCATATTAAGTGACAGGCCCAGCCTGTAAGAAGGATTTGAAGGTACCTAATTATGGCAGATATCAGTAAGAGCAGTCTTCCTAACTGTAAATTGACGTATCATATGCTGTAAAGAGAAGGGAGATTGTAGCAGCCAAAAATGTAGTTCTTTTCTCAGATTTTCAGCTTACAGTAAACTGAAGGCAGGCCTTGCTTCAAAGAAGGATGACCGTTGCTAGATTTGTTTTTTAACAAGCAACTGTGAAGAGAAGAAAAGCCCGCATAGTCTTTTCAAAGATGAAAGCAGGTCTCTAATGAAACTGGTTTCTTAAACTTTGCAGGATAGTAGTCATTTCAGAATGCTTTAAGCTATGTTCATAGTTTTAATATTTTTGCTTCCATGTTGTACTTAGCTGTATTAGAGCATTCTGAGTTCATATCAAAATTGGCAATATCAGAAAATTCAACAAAATACATTTTGTTTCAAGTATTATACTTGAGTATTAACATATTATTTTAATGATTCATATTTATGAATGCTGAGTTGCACTTGATAATGAGATAATGCAATATACCTCTGAGCGGAACATGCACTTACAATGAAGTTATAGTGACTGTTTGGAGAACAAAGTTTATATGTTTAAAAGACTGCAAGTAAAATAGATGTTTTAATATTTATAATTACCAGGGTAAGTAGATTTTTATATTACAGTAAGAACTTTTACAAAATACAATGTACAGCTGTTTCCAGTTGCTTGTCAGCCTTGGCTGTCTTAGAACAGCAAGGCTAGTGAACTGTTACAGGTCAGAACGGATCAATACAATGATTTCTTAAAGCTTGAAGCTCTTCTAGCAGAGTTGGAGTGGGTGTATAAGTAAGCACAATTTTCAATGTGTAAGTCCAGAAGTGTTCAATAAAACATTATGATAACATTTGTTGAGAGCGTTTTTTAAGAAAGCATTCTAAAAATAGTCAACTCATTACAGTGGGGTACAAAGCTGTCTTGCTGTGCCTTTTTAATTACCAAAAGTTCTCCTTTTGACAATACTAGTATTATATACGTCCTTCTCAAGAATGCATTTCCACATATAAAAACAATTACATTTAAAAAGATGCACTCTTACTTGCATTTTCCAGGTGCTATTTAAAAAATGAATATTCGCATATGTAGTTTCACTATGAACGCTGCTGTGGCAGGGGGTTACACTAGCTCTTCAGGATGTGAATGTGCTGTTGCACTCGCAGTATGTTACAGTCAATGGTGTAGCTTGTCATAAAACTTTGAGTTCGGAAAATATATCTCCTGGAACACTGCAAATCCTCTGACATACGCACGATGTTATCCACATCATCTTCCACTTAAAGAAGCCTTCATTGGGGCACTCAAACTGTACGGTGATCATTTTGGACTTACTAGGTATGCAGCACCTCTTGTCCAAGCACACCCCACAGAAAGTTAGTTTGTATCTTTGTGTAGTTGAGCATCCAGAAAAAACTAGTTTTTCTGCTGTAGGAAGCTGGAATGTTGGTTGACATGTTTTTCCTTTTGGAATCTTTAATATAAAAACAAAGAAAAGCCTGAATTTTCTACATAGGGAAAATGGAACCTGTAAGAAAAAATTACAACATTTACATAGAAATATCTTGAAAATTCCTCCTTCTAAGAGCTGTCTTTTTTTTATCAGTCAACACATAGAAAGTATTTTCTGGGTGAGTGAGCCAGTGGGACAGCACTAGCAGCACTTTTTTCATTACATTGTGTTGTTTTCTTGTAAACTACAGATGTATAATTTTATATTGAAACCTGAGGACTGAACGTAGAAAAAGAAGAGTTATTTTATGACCCTTAAAAAAAGGAAGAAGTCGTTTTATATTAGTATTTGCTAATACATCAATTTTTCCATTACTTCAGATATTTCCATTTTCTATGAGGAAATCATTTTATATTAGAGAGTACCTTTATTGTCTTCAGTATATTGGTCAGACAAGGCTGGATGAAGCATAACCTCTTTTCTTTTTTCATTTCACATTTTCTGTTTTCGTTGGTCACTCTGCTGGATATGCCTATGCCACAGGTCCTGGAACAGGGTGTCCAGGGAGTTGCCTGTACCAGGCACTTTTTCTTCAAAACTAGCGGTAAGCTTCTGTAAGCTAAGACAGCGATATATTGTTTATGCAGCAGAACAGCCCCAAAATGATTAATTGAAAATAAAAAGGATAAGCATTTCATTTCTGTTGATGAAGGTGCTTTTGTAGGTAGATCTAAAAATGAGGCATAAACAAAGTTATACAAAAGTCTTAGGGCTGAGCTGCTGTTAAAATTTACTGACCCTGGATACTCAGATCCTAGCAAGGACTATGAAATCGCATGTGTTGTATGACCCCGAAGTTTAATGGGATTAAAATGTTATGTGAATGTCCTGGTTTAACCCGGCAGGCAGCTAAACACCACACGCCTGTTTGCTCACTCCCCCCTCAGTGGGGTGGGGGAGAGAATCGGGGGTGGAGGCAGGGAAGGGGTGAAGCAAGATTCCTGGGTTGAGATAAAAACAGTCTAATAGGACAGAAACGGGAGGAAAAATAATAATGATAAAAGAACATACAAAATAAGTGATGCACAATGCAATTGCTCACCACCCACTGACTGATGCCCAGCCAGTTCCTGAGCAGCGGCCCCCTGGCCAGCTTTCCCCCAGTTTGTATACTGAGCATGACATCATAGGGTACGGAACAGCCCTTCGGCCAGTGTGGTCAGCTGTCCTGGCTGTGCCCCCTCCCAGCTGCTTGTGCATCTCCGGCCTTTTCAGTCAGCAGAGCATGGGAAGCTGAAAAGTCCTTGACTTAGTGTAAGCACTGCTTAGCAACCACTAAAACATCAGCATGTTATCGACATTATTCTCCTACTAAATCCAAAACACAGCACTATACCAGCTACGAGGAAGAAAACTGACTCTAAACCAGAACAGTGAAGAGAGTTATTTGTGGAATTTTTATGAAATGTCCCGAATGGAAGAGACATCGAAAATTATTTAAGGCCAAGCATAGCTTAAAAAAGGGTGCTGAAAACATTAATTCTTTGTAGATACTGTGAAGGCTTTAGGGGGTTTTTTGCGGAGTGAAATTCTCCAGTCACTTCTAGATACCACCAAAAAGCGTATTTTCTGATGGATTAGGGCTGCATTAGGTGGAGTACATTTAAAAAACGAAACAAAATTGCAGTGCAAAAGTTCATCATGAAATTCTGAAAAAAAACCTGATTATGTGGAATCTGTGCATTTAGGTTAGAGCATGGGCAGAATTACATGGATACCTGGAAAGCAGACAGCAATTTAAAGATGTTGTTGCAGGAAGCAGATTAAAAGCCTGTCACAGATCTGCGACAAATAAAAGGAGATTAAATGGTTGGTTGTACTTGGTATGTTTTTAAAGTATGACCCCGGTACATCCCTATGTATCTAAATTAGGTAAAGAGAATTGACAAGGAAAGCCAGAAGACAAAGCAAGAGCAGTGAAATGAAACTTAGCACTTGTTACCCACGCTAACAGAAAAAAGACTTTTCAAAAGAGATATTGGCCCGTCGAGGCATTCACAGAATTCATGTTGACATGCCACTTTACTTCTGCTGCACTGGGAAAGGGAATGGGGAAGACCTCCCTTTGAAACAAAAATTTCAAGGTGCTTTTCTTCAGAGGGTTTGTACCACCTGAAGAATGGCATCCTTCAGCAGGTACAGCCGCCACAGGGACAGGCTGTTGGCTCTCTGAACCAAGCCACGCAGGAAGCGTGTTTTGCAAGCTGGGTTTCTTTTCTCGGGGTTGTGTTGTGCAGTTGATTCAAATTCCTGACTAAATGTGAGGTGCAGTGTTGCAGTCTACTCACGGAAGGAGTTACTGAAGGTTGGACTTCAGCTTTTCGATCCATTGATGTGCTACAAAGTAAACGGCTTCATGCTTTTCTCCAGGTATCTGAAATACCCACAAACCTAAGTAATGTATTTCGTGGGGTCAAATGGTTTGGTTGCCATTGTTTTCAATGTGTTATGTTCTCTCTTTGATCAGATTAGGCAGTTGCCTTTCTGAGTGTGTTTTTATACACAGCATTAAGTATATTTCTGTAAAAAGGCTTTGACACCAGTTACAGGTATTGTTTCACAATTTTGAAGTAAAGATGAACTGCTTTCTTTATTTTTAGTAACTTGCGTAACCACTGCTAATATGGTAGAAGTTGTCCAAACTGAACTTCAGATTTTGTAAGCAGGTCTACTTATCTGCAGATTGCCCTATGTGCATCTACCTATTTTCTCAGTATTCTTTTATGAAGGGTTTCTGATAAGCTTCGCGATCCTTTTAGATTTATTTTGTTGATCTGTGATGACAATTCAGGCCGTAGTTTCCTCCTAATTCAAGTTGCTACCAAATAAATGGCTCAGCTTTCTGGTACCCACATTAGTTGCAAGGAAGTTGAGTTTCATCATGGAAACTTGCACATGCGCAGGGAAGGAGGCAGCACAAGCGCAAGGCGGCTGTGGCCAGGGAAGGGCAAGGATAGCCTGCTTCTGGCAATGGTGCTTCCTTAAAGTGGAAAGAGAACTATGGTGTTACCAGCAGAGCAAGAATGAGGTTGAAGGGAATATCAGCTGACCCTGGCAGAACTGCCTGGATAGGTTGTCCTTCCAGTTACCTGAAATTTTGTGAATTTATTAAACGAGCAAGGCAGTCTTTATAATTTTCTGCTTTCTATTGAAAGAAAAGGGCTGCAACCTGTTTATGTATGTATGTGAAAACCAAGACTCCCTACCACCACAAAGCCAGAGAAAGTGAGACAGCTCCCAGGCTGCGAAATGGCTGTCCACCAGCAACCCTAATTGGTCTGATCTGATGAGCAGTAAACCTCCGCAGAAAGAGGGGCTGAAGGTAGCCTTGGCCGATTCCCTAGCGACAGAAGCCAAAAGGCTTTTTGCTTTTCATAGTCATCAGGTTTAGAGAAAAGAGTCTGTGACCTAAGAGTAAGAGGGGTAATTGGGACAGACCAGTCACCCTGCCAATGGCCTTGAGCGAAAACTGAGAAATTGCCAGTGTGCTGCCTGCCTGGCTGCTGGAGCCAGCGACGCTAAACGCAGCAAGGCTCACGTACAGAAAAGTTTACCAGCGTAGCCAGGCACACCTGACATCAGTCTGTAGTTTGTTGATTGAAGCTGTTTGTGCGGTCCGCGCCCACAGATGGATTGTCCAGGCTTCTTTCTGCCCGTCACCCTGGTGCAAGGACTTGCTGCTAGTTTGGGTGTGAATACAGGTGTACATCCAATTGCACCACTGACACACAGGCACTTATAAAGTGGGTTAGGTTGGAAGGTCTGCCCATTAAGGTAATAAACTCCATTGAGCTCACATCCTACAGCTACCAGATCTGCAAACGGTAAACAACAGTTACTAACACAGGAGGAGCATGTGGCTCCTGCTTACAGATTGCTAAAATGCGATCGGCATTTACTCCACCCACAGCTTCGAGTCCTTCCCAGCCCAAGCACGCATTTTTTTTTTATTTATGCCCAGTGATAACTACAGCCGCTTAACTTCAAATCAGTCATCAACATGTCTCCAAATAACAGGCTGGTGCACAATGAACTGGTTTCACTAATGCGTCCGCAGGTAAGTTTAAAGTTGCTCCCAGCCCTACTCTCAGATTCTGTGACTGAGCAGTCGGAGGACTAAATTAGGATAAATTGCCTAGCACAGAGCAGTGCAGCACCAGGGAGCAGAGTTTTCCTCCAAAAGCATTCACCTGCGTGGTCCCGCCCTCCTGGATTTCAAGAAGGGAACGTGAAAGAACAACTTACATGCACACACGCCTGTTTCATACCTAGGCTTGTCATCCGAGTAGTCGCAGTAGAGGCCTTTGTGGGGATCGCAGATGTCCGCTTCATTGCAGGTCTCTCCCGACTGCTTGGCGCAGACCTTACAGCAGCCGCAACCGTCCTTCACCAAGCTTACCCCGGGAGTGCAGGCTGGCACGGGCGGGCATCTGCATGGCCAGTGACAGACCTCCTTGCGCTGGTGGACTTCACCGGTTTCGGAAGGTTTTTCTCCAGGCTTCACTGGTGGGCTGTGGAAAAACTTACACACAGTGGGATGTTTTGAGAGCTGAATGCATTCTGTGTCGCTGAGATAGCATAAAATAAAGTTGGGATGGAAAAAACTATGAAGTTGCGTGAAGACACTTAACATTTCTCGTCTCATGGGATCCAAAAAGTGAGAGGCTGTCAGGGTTAGGTAGGAGACAGAGGACCAATTTCACCAGTCACTGTCATGCACTGAGGTGGTGTTCCACCAGCGAGGCTGGCCTACTGTTTGTATGAAACACAATTCATTGCTCTTTCCTTTGCCTTCCGAGGAACAAAACCTGTAGTAGAGCTAAAGTAGGAAAAAAAGTGCTTTAAAGTAGGAAGTGGATTTATTTTAAATATTCCTTCCCACAAACCTCCTATCAAATTATTTAGCTCTTGATTCCTCCCACTGTTTGATACCCAGCCACTGCCCCGTGTGCCACTTCTGATGCCAAAAGCCTTTTAAAGTAGTAAACCTCTTTTGAGTGTTGCTTTTGCTCCAAAATTTGAGTAGCTGTTTGGGAAGGAGCATTATAGTGTTCACAAATTCTCTTGTGCTAGATGCAAACATTGAATCCTAACAAGGGAGGCTAGTAGTTGCACTGAGCTAAATAGGTCATGTTCTAAGAGTGTATCTATTTGCATGAGTAAGTGTTGATCGAATCCGGGGCTTACAGGGCAAAGACGTATCTCTTTCAGAGATTTGTATCAGCAGTAGGAAGTCAAGATCTAGCCAGAATTTACTGTTTTCCATATTCTGTCTCAGAATCCATGTCTTTTTTTTTTGTCTTTTTTTTTTTTTTTTAAGAAAAGGAAGTCCTAAGTAATTCTTGATGGGTTTATTTTTCCGAGGCATGGGGGAAGATTAATTTGGCACAGAGTGTGGAAGGATCTATTTGAGATAGCTGTACTCTATCTTTTTTTTTTTTTTAAGAACTGCATCTAAAACATAACAGTTTAGATCTTAGCGTTAAATATTTTCGCGCTGCTGATTTCAGCAGAAATGCAGATCGTGATATACTTATTCATCGCGGATGACTGGATCCATAGTTAAGTGGGGGCACACACAGCGCTTTGGCCACTAGTACAATGTAAGGCTTGGGAGCTGCTCTCATCAAGCAGCTCTGGCTGCCCGAAGAGCAAGAGGGAAAGACAAGATCCAGCCCCTCATCAGGAACCAGCATCACCATCTCGCTTGCAGAAAAAAAGAAATATATAAAGCCTATATTTTTTCTGGGCATGTGAAGCCCCACCTATCAGTTTCTCGCTGTTCCTCCAAACTGCAGGGCTCTGCTGATGTAGAAACCACCCCCAGCAGAGACGCTAAGGGAAAGCTGGGGAAGGGGTCGTTCCACTGGGTTTCCTTTCAGTTCAGCTTTCAAACTGGAAGTATCTGCAGAATTCAGCATTTCATATGTCATATCCCACGAAAGCTCTTGCAGCATAATTGAGCTGGCCTAATTGCATGCAGCAGTAAATGACCTTTTAAAAGGCTTTTTTCTACCCCTAATTTCCATTTCTCATGGTCATTTACAACTATAGTTACGATATCTTAATCCACAGCTACTAATGAAGCTCCAAAGTAGTAGCTTTCAAGTTCTTTTGGCTGAATGATTTTTAAGATACATACTAATTCACAGAGGCAATTCATATAAGAAATGAATATTAAACAATGTCATGTGGTATTCAATGCAGCATGCAGAAGATAATTTCATAAATGTGTTATTTGGTTAATCATTTGCTGATAAAGGATTTCTTCTAATCCTTTTTACCTAAATGCAGCAGTAATATAGAAACAACCAACTTCAGTATACTTTCTTTAGGCAGCTAAGCCTTTCCTATAAACCATAATGTTAATTTGATGAACGCGTGCATTGGAGCGTAAAGCTTCTTAAAGGCTTGTTCTGGAAACAAGATACACGGAAAACAGGTGTTCCTATACATTTAGCAGTCTTCAAGACTGTATGGTTGCTTTAGGAAACTCACTTTCTTGCTGCTTTTTTTCTTTTTAAGCAGGGTATTAGCATTAGGAATTTGGCCATGTGCCAGCTATATGAGGTTATGTGGCTTAAATCAGATCTCACATTTCAAAATGGGTATGTGTAGCAGGAAAAAATCTGTGTGCTTCAACCAGTATGTTTAATTTGTATTACAAATTAAAATGTGCTTTAAACCTACAGAATTCTACCTAAGCAAGTGATTTTTCTC